GACTAAGCTTAAATCTACCTTTAGGCAGTGCCTAAAGCAAAGGTTGAACTTGGCAAAATCTCCCCTATACAGGGTGGATCGTCAGGATCACCACCAGTCAAAATATAATCTCTCTCTTTTAAAACTAGGAAAATTTCGGCAGCGCTTCCCGTAGGAAAAGTGCCTTTTCAGTATTGATATCAGCTCAGATATGAAACGCAGGAATAATTTGTAGCTCTGGAAAGTCAAATTCTGTCTAACTCCCCGAATTAGCAGAAATTTAGGCAGCATTCTCTTTAGAAAGGGAGACTTTCCAGATTTATACTAAGTCAGACTTGACCTCAAAAGACAACTTGAGTTCAAACCAGACAAAATCTGACTAACTCCTCAGTTTTGCAGAAGTTTCGGCAACACTCCCTCTAGAAAAGTGCTTTTCCAAAATTTATACAAGGCTAAGTTCAGAACTTGAGACTAACCTTGACTTCTCAAAGTCCAATTTTGTTTTACTCCTTGAAATAACAAAAATTTGGGCAGCACTCCCTTTAAAAAAGGAGATTTTCTAAATTTTTACTAAGTCAGATACACAGAAAAGATAATTTGAACTTTGACAAGTTAAAATTTGACTCACTCCTTGAACCTGTAGAAATTTCGGCAGCGCTTCCCGTACAGAAAGTAGCTTACCAAAATTTATACAAGCCCAAGTATAACAAAGAGCTGCAGAAATCGACCTAAGTAAAATAAAGTCAGCTCAGAAAATGCAGGAATTAAACTAACTCCTATCGCTCTAGCACATGACGAGCCTCTAAAGCAACTACCTGTCAGCCAGAAACCCAGAGCAAGTAGTAATCTCACTCAGCCACATGCAGGCCAAACCACAAAGGTAAGTACTCTCACCAACCTCAAGCTCTTAAGCAACCAATTGTTTATGCTCCTTCTGTGAATTACCCTTCTTGTACCCACCTTACATAAGGCATGGGTCAGGGCACCTGAACTTATAGAGCGCGCCCAACTTAGCCAGGCCTAAAGTCAGATCACCTAAACTTATAGAGTTTATATGACTTAGCCAAATATACACAAAACAAAGGGCACAACTACTTCTCTCTTCCTTGGGCATATGACTAGACCACTCTAGTCGCCATGTACTGTTTAAATAGCCAAGTTGTATATATCTCTCTGAACTTAATCTTCATGGTGGACATAAGGCTGAGCCGCTCAACTTAGAACACTGCTTTGTCTGCCCAGGTTTACCTTCAATTTTATTTCTTGATTATACTCTCTTCAATTGTGATAAGCTATAGCCAGGCTACCTAAACTTATAGAGCGGCCTGACTAGCCTATTCTTAATAACATATTAATATAGTATAACCAAGTTATAACCATTGGGTTCCAACATGTGCGAGGCATTGGGTCAGACTACCTAAACTTATAGAGTTGTCTGATCCTCTGCCAGGTTCGTTCCTCTTTGATCCAGTCTGTGCGAGGCAGTGGGCCATGTCACCTAAACTTATAGAGCGGCCTGCCTCCTGCCAGAATTATTCCCTCAGAACAAAACAGGAGAAGGGCTGAACCACCTTAACTTATAGAGCAGTTCATACCTCCTCACTCAGAACCAAAGAAACTGAAAGAACCCCCAAGCAAACAAGGCGACCCAAGGTGCCTAAACTTCTAGAGCGCCCTGGGTTCCTGAAAACCATCCACAATCAAGCCCTCACAGTCAGAGCGGTCAGGTCACCTAAACTTATAGAGCGTCATGACCCTCCATTCCCAGCCTCCAGATTATTCAGGCTCTAAACTTATAGAGCGGCTTGACGCTCCATGCAAAACCAAAGTAAATAAAGCGCTGGGCTTCGCCAAACTTATGGGGACCTCCCAGCCTTAACGACCCAATCAATCTGCACACAATACTGCCTTCCTCCCAACCTTTTCCTTAATGTAACCCTCTTTCGTTCACAATCTGCATTAAGGC